GGGACTTCTGCGACGTCTGGACAATCATATCCAACTCGCTGTCAATGGACTGCGCGATACCGAAAGTGGACAAACCCGAGGCCAACATACAGGCGCGCAGACCAATCATCTCGGGCTCATAGCCCGCCGCTATCGACACATCTGTGAGCAGCGAAAACATGGTTCCCGTCGTCTTTCCCGGCACTCCGAACGGCGTCGAGACGTAAGCCTTGATATTGAGGCCGCGTTCCGACGGGTCGACCGTCAGATGAATGGGATTAGACGTCTCGCGCGAGTAGTAGTCGTGAATGACAACTGAATACTCGTTCACTTCGCCGCCGCCGGTGGCAAACCAGCCAACAATCGTCTCATTGGGATTCACTTTGCGGTGCAATTCAAAGAGTTCTTTGGCCACTTCGATATCGATGGCCACCTCGTTGTTGGCCTCCCTGTGCTGAACGACAAACGAGTTACTGATCTCAACGTTTCCGCTCTTGTCTTGAGATCCCAACAGAGTTCCGATCACACGATTGGCGTCACTGTTTCGGCGCTGATATATGTCCACAATGTTGAACAACACCACCGAACGACAAACGAGTTACTGATCTCAACGTTTCCGCTCTTGTCTTGAGATCCCAACAGAGTTCCGATCACACGATTGGCGTCACTGTTTCGGCGCTGATATATGTCCACAATGTTGAACAACACCACCGGATGTACGCGTACTGTCGTCGATGTCATTGTCTCCGCTTCTGGTCTGTCAATGGGCTGTCAATTGGTCTGAAGATGTGTTTGGATGCGATGGTCAACACAATCACGTCAACGATTGCCAACACATTCAATGGTTGCACACAAAATGTGTTCACACGTGTTGTCACTGCGCGTGCGTTCACTCTATAGACTATAGACTAGGGGTGCGAACGGTTTGTTGTGCCAAAAGCGGAGTGAAAGCATTGAATTGAATGCATATCTCTATAAGACCTCTATTTGTCAAACATTTGCCGCAGTTTTGTTTGTTTTGTATTTTTGGCGCATTTTTTTCGCAGCATTTAATCATTCAGTCATTGATTCATCGATTGTTTGGATTGAAGTCTCGTTTGGTTTGCATTTAAGACAAAGAAAAACAATTATATGTTTGAGAAGAGAAGACAATGAATGCGACGAAGAGTTTGTTTGACCGACAGATCGGTTCCAGAGGTTGTGGCCGTCGATCGGTGGACGCCATCGACTCGGCGTTCAGTAAACTGAGTCTCTGTCGTCAGTATCTCTTCACGGATTTAAATGACGTAAAGTTTGCCATTGATTTGACCATTGGATCCGATTGTCTCATTGGATGTGTTGTCTTGTATTTGTCTGGTTAGGTGGGAGCGCCTCCATTGGCTCTGGCGCTCAACCATCGGCTGCTGTCTGTGGCCAACGATGGCGGAGATGTGGCTCTTCTGGACAAAAGTGATCTCAATTTGCGCCACAAATGGACGGCTCATAACAACGCTATTTTCGACATTAAATGGCGCCCAGAGTTTGACCATCACTTGGGAACCGCTTCCGGCGATAAGTCTATAAGCGTTTGGGATATCAATAAAGGTTTGCATTTATTTGTTAACTTCAATGACTGATTGATTGACTGATGGACTGAATGTAATGTTGATTAGGAGAGAAGGTCTAGAGCATACTGAAGCGCGTGTTGCCTAGGTAATTTAGCTAACCAAAGTTTCTGCTCTTGCACAACCGGTCGCCAAGTGCGCTACCTGAGTAATTCTATACCCTGAACTCTACGCCGTCTCCAAACCGAGTTAATTACTATTAGTAACGCTTTGTTTTCCATGCGATTAATGTATTGTGTCTTAAAAGGCGGATCAGTTATAGTGATAGAAAGCGCACATTTGAGTAAATTACCAGCGGTTAAGTCATCGCCACGAGTGAAACCGCAGAGGACTTCACCGTTGAATAGCGTGACGTGCGTTGCGTTCAACGGCTTAACCGATCACTTGTACAGCAGTGGCGCCAACGACGCGACCATCAAGTTATGGGACTTACGAAAGTGTCGCCGAAATAAATTGAACAAAACCTCTTCCACTCCTTTCCGCGAGTTATACCAGACATCGAGAAGAGGCACTCCTTCTCATGGCTTTACTTGTCTCACATTTGACTCGAAGAACCGATTGTTCGCCAGTTGTAGTGATCACAACTCGTATGACTTCGCGCACAACGGATCCATTAAATCGATTGGTTTCAAAGACGAGAACGTGTTGGCCAGCGGTTCACGCGATGGACTCATTAAGATATGGGACTTGAGATGCGGCAGAGGTTTGGCTTTTAATTACTATTAGTAACGCTTTGTTTTCCATGCGATTAATGTATTGTATCTTAAAAGGCGGATCAGTTATAGTGATAGAAAGCGCACACTTGAGTAAATTACCAGCGGTTAAGTCATCGCCACGAGTGAAACCGCAGAGGACTTCACCGTTGAATAGCGTGACGTGCGTTGCGTTCAACGGCTCAACCGATCACTTGTACAGCAGTGGCGCCAACGACGCGACCATCAAGTTATGGGACTTAAGAAAGTGTCGCCGAAATAAACTCAACAAAACCTCTTCCACTCCTTTCCGCGAGTTATACCAGACATCGAGAAGAGGCACTCCTTCTCATGGCTTTACTTGTCTCACATTTGACTCGAAGAACCGATTGTTCGCCAGTTGTAGTGATCACAAAGTGATTATTGATTTATGCCATTAGTTATGAAGAGTTAGTGAAACAACTGAAGCCATGCTCTGTGAGTGTGGAGCGGATTGACTCCCAAGAGTTGCCCAAACTTAAGGTGATATCAGATCCCAATCGTATCAAAGATGAAGTGTTGCCCGAAGTGCACGACGCGGACGACCTCATTGAGGAGGAAGAGGTGGACGTGGTTTTGGCCGAAGTGGAGGCGCAACCCATTGATATATCTGAAGAGGTATTGTCTTATGAGTTGCGATGTATTGGGATAGCAATGAATGATGAATTGATGTACTGTTAGGACAATCGGGTTTACAAGTGTTTCTTCTGTCAAAATACGGTCACCGGTTATGCGGAAACGTTCACTCATTTACAGCTTCATATCGACTACTTTCCCATCCAATGCTCCATTTGTGATGAGGCACTCACTGATGTGATCTCATTTGTCAAACATTGCCGCAAATGTCATCCAGAATTAGAAAACGCGAAATACATTAAGAAATTCAATTCAAAATTTCACGATTGGATCCACAACTTCTTGACCGCCGAACCGAATCAGTTATACAAAGATACAGGTGTGTTCATAACAGGCCGCACACTAACCGAGTTATTCCCGCGAGGGCTACAGTTATTAGGTTTGCTTTGGAGAAGAGTCAGAAATTTTGGTGACGTGCAAAACGCGGTGTAAGTGCTTGTGTACCTTTACACACCATTTCATTGTCTTAAATGCAAAGAGAAAGGAAAGATTTATCGGATCCATGTCTTGGATGTGACCACTCGTAACCATTTTATGAGCGAACACAAGGATGTGCCAAACGAGGGCTCATTTCATAGCTTTTTTGGGAAGAAATTTACGATTGCATTGATTGATAAGTTTATTACCAATTATTTGAGTATTTTTGGATTAAAAATGCCTAAAACCAGGTCTCGGAAGAAGAAACCAAAAGCCGATACCCAAGCGGTCATATTAAACACGGCAACCAATACCGTCACACTAACCAATGGCATTAGCAAATCATTAGTTCCGCTCCACAATTTGAAACCAAATGCGAGTGCAAACAAACTACAAGAAGTTATTAAACAAAAGCCGGTCACTTTGGATAGTCTTATGGCCAGTTTGTCGAGCGCTCCACAGATGCAGGCCGTCCTCATTAACGGACAAATCACACTCATTAATACNTTGGATAGTCTTATGGCCAGTTTGTCGAGCGCTCCACAGATGCAGGCCGTCCTCATTAACGGACAAATCACACTCATTAATACCACTCCAACCGCCGCACAAATGCACAGTCCTTTGCTTTTCAGTCCATCGAGTAATTCGATTAATGCCAATCCATTTCCAGTCGAAGCCGCAGAGATTAGTGTCGTTTGTGTTGATCCCGTGAGTGTCCTCTCAATGATCAATACTTTATTTTTTTTTACTAATCTCTGACTTTGTTTAACAGAATGAGATGGAAGTCGAAGAACGAAACTTTAAATATATTTGTATTTTCTGCGAACAAAAACCAAACGAACCAATCCTTGAATTTGTCGAAAAGAGCGATGCGCTCATTCATTACGCCATTCATTTCAATTACAATCCCATTGTTTGCATGATATGTGACAAGAGTTTTGTGGATCTGAGTCTTCTGATGTCTCACTACACCAAAGAGCACAACGCCTTTAAGAATCATTTGTTTCATTACTTCAAAGAAGACGAGCGAATCGAGAAATGGATTCTTTCTTTCTTAGACTTTCAGAGAAACTTTGAATTCAGAGGAAAAGTGTCGGCAGTCGTCGGCGACTCGTGTTTTGTTTGTAACAAACTCTCAAAACTACCGAAAGATAGATTAGAGTTAGAGTTTAAGAATGTGAAGCCCAAAGAAATTAGGGATCATATGAATGAGCACTTGAATTACTTCCCGTACAAGTGCTCCATCTGTTTCCACGGCGGACGAGACGTTCGCTTTAGCGCCTTGAATAACAGCGCGTATCAGCACTTGTTTAAAATTCATGGCTTAGACTTAAATGATCGCAAACTGTTTGCAGAATCGACAAAATTGTTTGTAAAATGCGATGAGATCTTGGATTTGGAGAAATATATCGATAACTTTATGTCACCGAATAGAGCGAAGCTCTCGAAAAGCACTTTAGTATTGAATATTAAACGCAAATTAGAAGAGATTGAAGCGGAAAGCAAGAAGAGTCGTCTATTAAACTCGACGCCAACGCCTGCGCTTCCATCGGCGCGAGTGATTCCTATCGTTACGACCATAGGTCTCAACTCAATGCCCCAAACATACGGTAGACAATCACCGAAGCTTTCGCCAACTCTTTCGTCAATATTAACAGCACCCGTTCCTTCTTCTGCAGCATTTCAGAGGCAATTACAATATCAGGTAATGTTATAAAACTTGAATTATGGATTCATTTTGTAACCATTTTTCACGTGCCATCCTATGCTAGACTAATGGCATTAAGCAACCGATACGAGCGATAGCCCCGAAACAGCATCCAATCGAAGTGCTATCGTCTCGACAGACATATATCGAGCCATTCCTCATGTGCTTTCACTGTCACGAGAAAGTATTGAATGCATTGGATTTGGAATCTCATCACATGAAAAAGCACCCGAAACTGACGATTGCCAGCTATACCCCCAACAAAGCAGAGATCACGTCTATTGCTCGCCGATCATTAGGTCTGTTTTCAATATTTTCATTTTTAGTACCATTTATTTTAACGCTTTCTTGAATTTTGATTACCATTTCAGAATCACCTCAATTTCAACGACAATTCATAAATAAATAGTCTATTATTTATTAATTTTTTTATAATAAAATTTGTTTACAAAAGCAATGGTATAAAAAGGGCTGTATTTAATAGTTAATTTTTGAGCCATCAATTTGTGATAAACATATACTCTTAAATTTCTGCAAAATTAAATTTAATACATTTTATTAATTAATTAAGTATTTATGAACACATTTCTGGAGTCATTTAAAAATCAATTTTTAACTAATAAATGAATAAAAAGTCAATTAATGAATGAATTATTGATAAGTTATTACAATAGAAACAACTGTTTGGGTGTATAGTAATTAAGGGGTGAAATAATCGCTGATCTTTTTATTAGTATTGAATAGTTTTCTTTGACTTGATTTGCGTTTCAAACGATTCTCTTTAGTATTATTGAGCGCTTTATTGCTTGGAGTGCTTTGTGTTAAACGCATTCGCTTTGGATTAGAGGGAGTGATGTGTTGTTTGCCCGAAGAAGTCTCCAACCAATTGGTTAAAGAGCAAGAGAAGTGACTGTTAGTGGCCTGTGGTGTCAAAACACTGGGTTTGCACTCTTCCTCTTTGGCTGTCGTTTCTGTTACTATCGGAACGAATGGTTCGCTTATAGTCTTCGCTTCGAGTTCACGGTTCGGATTAAAGAGCGACCATTTGCTCACATTCTGGTCATCACTACACGTATAGATACTATACGACTGTTTGTCGGCCACAATGGCTGTCACTTCTTCCTCCGGATGTGGTAATGAATAGATTGGATATATTTGTCTCAAATTGTTTGCATTACAAGCGTTCCAATCGACGGACCAAATGAATGCCCGACCGCTCACAGAACCGCTCATCACATAATTATCGCCAAATGTATTAATTCGGGTAAAATTGCTGGCCTGGAGTCCAACACATTTGAGTGATGGCAACGAATCGTTGCCCGAATAGCCATAAATGGTGTGATCACTACAACTGGCGAACAATCGGTTCTTCGAGTCAAATGTGAGACAAGTAAAGCCATGAGAAGGAGTGCCTCTTCTCGATGTCTGGTATAACTCGCGGAAAGGAGTGGAAGAGGTTTTGTT